GAGTTTGTTTTGATTGTGCCAGGCTGGAATGCAGTGGCATGATCACAGCTCACCACAGCTTTGATCTACTGGGTTTAGGTGATCCTTCCACCTCAGCCTCCCAAGTAGCTAGGACTACAGGTGTGCACCACCATGCTAATTTTTTTATTTTTTACAGAAATGAAGTTTTGCTGTGTTGCTTAAGCTGCTGGGCTCAAACGATCCTCCTGCCTTTTCCTCCCAAAGTGCTGAGATTACAGGCATGAACCAACAGTACCTGACCTAGCAAAAGCTTAAAATTTTGAAAATTTAAATTCATTAAGTCTTTCCCAAGAATTTTTCAGAAAAATATGTTATCCATGCTTATCTGATTAAAAACTTACTTTCTAATTTCAGATTATTTTTTCTTTAAATGAATGGGCCCTTAAACACAGACTCAACAGCTATGACTAAAACAGAAGCAAGCCTAGCACTACCTATAATCTTCTTAGATTCATAGAGCAAGAAAACAGAATCCTTGTCAAGTGACTTTTTAAAAAGGCTATAGCATCTCACCACCCAGGTATGGTCCAATATAGCCACCAATATAAAAGAAGAATGCTATCATTCTGAAATGTTTGGCTTTTTCCTCCTTTGCTCAGGGAAGAAAGAATATTTCCATCTGCAGTCTCAGATGGACAGCAATGAGTGTATGCTCCTGTGGCTCCTGACAGCTCCAGATAAACAGCCCTCTATTTTTGAGAACTGACTTTGTTTGAAAGCAGCTGGGCCACTCAGTGCAAATAACCCATCAATACTTGTAAATACAATCACCACGAGTCAACTACAGTCTTACATCTCTAACACAGTACTTATGTCTAAATAAATAAAGTTGGATCACTCAACTTTATATTTAATCCAATTGGCTCCAACTCTTTTTAATTGTCCATTACAAAGTGGTTTCTGTTATGGGAGTCCCAAAAGGAAACTGTTCTGGGAACTCTCCCAAAACACTATTAAAGAAAGATATATTTTAATATATTATCTTAAAAGTACAACCCATATAGCCTAACCCCCAAACTAAGAATAAAAAGTAGAGATTCTAAGTACAGCACACAGCATTTGAGAAACAAGTGGGCAATCTACCCAACGTCATATCACTGGGATATTACAGCCTCCTAATTTCAGGATGTATAGTGTTTAATGATACATGCATATGACACAAAAGTGACAAAAACTTTGATAAGTCAACTAAAATCCTGAAAAAGTCAATAAGAATCCTTCCCATCCCCAAAGTATTTGTCTTGGGTCTTCTCTAATGAACCTAGAAGAGCCAGCATATTTCACAGGGGCTAAATAAAACTTTTTAAAAGGTTAACGGAAAAATATTTATGTGAAAAATGTCTCCAAATAATCTTTTAGTGGGTGGATTCAGCACATACCAGTGAATACCTTTGAGCTTAGTCCAATTTTGAATTAAGCTAGAGTTCACCTTTAAGAAACAATGAACCTGTTTTAAAAAACCCTGTATTAATAAGAAACATGGAATGTGAATACAAAAAAAGATATTATCAACTGAGTTGTATCTAAATATTTTACAAAGTTTTCCATGAGCCGTCAGATCTTTAAAATGCATGATCTTTAAAAAAAAAAACTTTTTAGTCATTCATCTGTAAAAAATCTAGCGTTTTATGTGTATGCCAACCATAAAATTGCCCCATGCTAAATTTAACACAAACCTCACATTACAGAGTTATGTGTTCTTGTACTTCAACGATAACTATGACAGTGATTCCAAGGGTAAAAACACACTTGGAATAGTCTACCTTCTGCTGTATTTCAGTACAATGAGAAAGCCTGAGCAGCAAGCAAAAATTAGGTCCATATTTTAAATCTGCAGGCAATCAAGCCAGGAAAATAAATTGAGGAACCCGGCTATGTAATCACAATCACTTGCAAAACCATTTAAACTATTTTTTAGTTGTAATTGTTAGCAGTTTCTTATGACTGTAATCTTAAAAAAAAAATCCTCCAGTTTAAAAATTAAATGCACATGTATTTTAACATTTTTTGTCCACTTATAGTTAGGTGCTGGCTATGCCGAATTAAAATTCTCCTCTGTCCCCCTTCCAATTCTGTATTCCCTTCTTTTAATTTTTGTACATTATGGTTCTGGCTCTAAGTTAATTTCATATTATCTATCCAAATAATGGGTGGCTAAAAACTTGGTCTTTAAAACTATAATTTTGAAACAACGTAGAGTTTAACAAAGAAAACATAATGAAGAAAGACACTTCATGATGAAACAGTGTTTCTCACAAAGTAATGTTACCTTTTCAGATGTTATTCAAGGATGGTTAATAATTTTACAAATGTTACATAATTCAAGACTCTCAACATTATAAATCAGTATGCATAACTCTTAACAGAGTACATTGAATAATAAGACACAAAATGAAATGTTCAAGGTCAGACAATATGTCAGTGAGGCAGCCAGCACTGACAATCTCAAATTCCTGTCTTCCCCCACATGTGCCATCCTGTGAGATTCCTGCTCTAACCTTTGGCTGCAAAATGCTTAACTCGGGTATTCTTCCCAGAGCAGAAATTATTTAGAGTAGAATTTCAGACTTAAGGAGCTGGTGAAGTAGAAGAGAAGTTAACCTAAATGTTACCATAATATATGAAGTTAAATTAATTTTCAGCTAATTGATTCATCACCTGAGTGATCAATTCCTAAGCAGAGACCAACTTTTTCAGGGGCTTAACTAGCAAGGGCTAGCCCTTGGAGAGTGAAACAGTTACTTTTTTGGAGCTGGGCTGCCCCAAGGCAGGAACCACTCAGTGTTCATTCTCACTCCCTCACAGTTGGGAAGGGATGAGGGAACGTTTTTATTTCAAATGTTCAATTTGAACCACTGTAGACCAGTGAGATTCTAAAGGCATTAACAGTTTGGTTAAGTTTTAAGCTAGCTCCACATAACTTTATCACTTCTAACTTAGGTTACAAGCAAACCTTTTAGGCATTCTCATGTATTTCTCATCACTTCAACTTAATGGCCTCTTTTTTATATCCCTTCTCATACTTGCAGAGAAGTTCCAGTCTCCCTTAGTAAGTTAAAAAAAAAATCAACAAACACAAAGATGAGGCGAAAACATCACTGTTTAATGAGTTTGCAGGTTACCTATAATGTGATTTCATGATTAAACTGTCAAATTAATAACCAACTACCTATCTTTCATATTCAAATACATGATGTTTATATTCTCTGAAAAAAAATATCTAGGGCCAAAATGTAACTATTCAAGAATAATCTATATATACTTTGGTGTGTATGCAAAAAAACACCTGACAGATAAAAAGTATAAGAATGAAATTTATGGCAAGCCTACACAGAACTATATCATTTTATTTTTTTCTTTCTTTCTTTCTTTTTTTTTTTTTT